AGAGAATGCAAAGTTGAATGATCGTTCAAAGTCAAGTACCGTGCTGGTCCTAGGCTAGAACGTACTAGAGACGCGAGTCTAGACACAAACGATACCACAAGATAGCACTAGAAACAATTCAAGCACACTCTGATATATGAAAGCAAACTCAAGGATACAACTGATTTTTCTCTTTTCCTTCTTTCTTTCTTTCTTTTCTTTTCGTTTTTTTGTGCGGCTTTTCTTTTCTTCTTTTTTTTCTACACCTTTCTGCCTTTTTTATTTCTTTTTTTTTGATTTTTTTACCAAAAACGGACTCAAGGACCTCACTGTAAGGTTATAGGGACTCAACTGTAAATATAAAAATTACAGGGACTCAAATGCAAAAGTCCATATCCAAATTTAGAACTATACAAAAATGGAATGCTGAATTTATGCCGGTTCCGTTTTTCCAAACGGATCACGAAACCGACACCAACAAAAAATTCACCAAGGTGTATGGGCTGGCACGGTGTAGATTAACCGTGAGGGAGGGAGGGAATCGGACTCAGTCTGTGGTGGTGGTGGGCGGCAATGGATGGATACGGCACCACGGAGTTCGGATTTGGTGAGAGATAAAGGGAAACTGATCCAATCTACAATTTTCTTTCCAAACCCAACAAATAACAATCTAATTTAATCTCTCCTTTCCATCTACCACACCCCTTCCATCTACCACACGCGCAACAGCAACAAGCACGGCCGAATGCATACGGCAGACCCTAGATGCAACTCAGCAACCCCAAGACCGACCGACAAAAACTTCTGAAAACTACAAAAATGGAACCGTGGCAGTGAGCCGATTCCATTTTCGTAGGTCCCGACGACAACAGAGACACGATGACGGTGACGACAGTGGTACTAAACGTGACCAGAACTCGAAACTCTAAACGGACTAAACGCTAAGACCAGCAACACGACTCAAAGATGTAACGCAAAACTCAACAAAGCAAAAATCGAAATGAACAATGCAATGGCACAATATGGCTAGGTAAATGATGCAATTTTTTTTGGCTATTTTCTGGTTATGGGTAGATAAAAACTCACCGAGCAACGAAAGCTCTGATACCATCTGATAAACCCTGAGTTCCTCTCGACACTCAAGGCTGTTGTTGGCCCGATCTTTCGGTGAGTTGTGATAACTACGATTTGTGAGAAACGTTGACGATCCGACTACAACCGTACGAGACGTTGTGTTGCGCCTTAGCAATCGATACACCTCTCCGTGGGTTGCTGATTTTGCCGATGCAGATCAACCCTAATGATAGAGGAATATATTTGGTGCATAGAGTTTTCATTTGTTCGGATTTAGAGAAACATGTTATTGCTAATCACACTACTTCGAGTTTCTCTAGTTTTGATTGGATGAAACAGGTTATTTTGAATGGACTATGTGAAGAACACCAAATGGAAAAGCCGAGGACGGTTTTCCGTGAAGAAGGGGAGGATGATGTGACCATGGTTACTACGGATACATCCGTTGCTCACATCATGGATGAACAACAAGATATCAAGTTCGAGTCCTCCAAGTGCCAGAATCCAATTCGGCCACCTGCTACACTGCTGACTTCAAACGGCCGCCGAATCTGCATACGACCTCCGTTTTCGGCCCATGAGTACTTGATGGAAAGCTCTCGGAGTCCTCTTTCCAATGGATCCAACCTCATTGCCAAATTCCATCTCAGTCGGCAGAAACTGAAGAAACAAGTTGCTGTGACACCTGTAATGGGCCTATGGGCTTGTAACTTCGTCTGGGACCCCGGCCCAAGTGAGGCCCATGTGGGGTGCATCCCAACCAGGTGGAGGACGACCTAGAGGACCTCCCACCTCCTTAAATAGCTAGGTAGCCCTTTAGAGTTTCTTGGGTTTTGATAGATTAAAGTTTAGCCATTGCTACTTGCTTGCAGCGCGCGTGTCAGCTAGACCGTCCGTCTGCTTGTTCTTCGGAACCCCAACTTATCATTTGTATTAAATTCCTATTTGCAATATCAGATTGCTTTTATCTTATTCTTGCTTGTTTCTTCGATTTGCTTGCAGGAATAGGGTTGATCTGCACCGGCAAGATCAACAACCCACGGAGAGGTGTATCGATCGCTAAGGCGCAACACAACGTCTCGTACGGTTGTAGTCAGATCGTCAATGTTTCTCCCAAATCGTAGTTATCACAACTCACCGAAAGATCGGGCCAACAACAGCCTTGAGTGTCGAGAGGAACTCAGAGTTCATCAAACAAGTATAGGATGCCTACCAAAGATGATCAAGTGTAACACTAGATCTAATGTTTGTTTGACTATGCCTTTATGCAATGAATTGTTGGCGGTGGTCTTGACATCTTAAATACCAACCTTTTTTTTTCAGATGCAATACAAGTTTTTGTTGTTTTTTTTTGTTCTAAAAGTTTTTGTTGTTTCACAGCAGAAACTGGACATTTTGATGATGGTATACACAAATCAAAATTTATGGTGTGACCAGTGACAATTGCTCTTTCTCTATTCTTGTCTTCCCGCTCCATACTCTATCCAATTCTCTATGACCAGAAATGCGTAGAATTGGTACCTCAGGCTGATGCACTTTAAAACCATTTGTTTTGATAGTGAGACTGCGAGTATAAATCACATCGAAGCGCGGTTGAAGGGGAGCATAAAGAAGTGAAACATTGAGCTTTAAATTCTTGCCTGTAGCAACCGTTGACTATGAACATTTGGTGTTCTTTCTAAGAAATGATAAAAGTGGACAAGGCCAAATGGTTGAAGTTCAGTTTGCACAATGACCAGTAAAAAAATTTTAAGAAATTTTCTTGTGCAATTAATTAATCTTGAATTTATTTTTACATGTTCTCATCTGAAAAACATGGTTGACTTACGAATCCATGTTTCAGGCGCTACGCACATTATTGAAAATAAACTCTTGAAATGCCTAAACAATTGAGCATAAAAAGTCCAATATTTTTACTTTTGTTGTTCTCTCCACTTCTCATGTAAAAATGATTATATATACATACATTTGAGGCACAAATTTTCATTTATAAATGATAATTGTGCTTATCCCCGTTGCAACGCACAGGCACTCAACTAGTTAATTATTCTTAAAAATACCTAAAAGCCCGTAAGCTAATACTCTTTGGTCGTAATTCAAGGTGTCTACTTGAGGATTGCATGTATATCATAATTTAAATTCATTTTAATTTTTTTATCAAGACATATCATAATTTAAGTTCTCAAATTTGTAATTCCAAGTTTTAAAAAATAAATTAACAAACAAATGTTAAACCTAGAAAAAAAAGACCACCAAATGAAACAAAAACATAACAAAATATACTCTCTTGGGATTCAAACATAGACAAAGCGTTCTGTCTTTTATAATAGGGTTAATTGGATCCATACTATTGTAGATTTGACTATTCAGAAAAATACCATTATAATTCGTTTATTTGTAGCCGTGCCACTGAACTTTTACAAAATTAATTAAAACCGTGCCACTACCGTAACATTTTCCATGTATTCCCTTCATTTTCCATCTTCTTCCTCCCTTCTCCCGTCTTCTTCCTTCCTGGCCGTGGCGGACAGGGTGTAGTTCCAAAGCAACGCGGAGATGACGGTGAGCTTGGTGCTACAAAGCTGGCCGGTGCAGCACACTAGCCGCGGCACACTAGCCCGACCGGCATGCTCAGGAGCTCGCCGCTGGAGCCGCATGGCAGCGCGCGTCGGCAACAGCTCCGGTGGCAACAGGCACCACGCTTGCTTTTGCGTCGGCAACAGCTCCAGCAAGGAGTCCCTTGTTCCACCTCCTGTACTAGCCTATGGTGGTGTTCTTTTCTTCTGAAAATGAAGATGACGATGAAGATGTATCACTGGATTCAGCAACCATATGAGCATAATGATGCCTGCCTCACCAAGGCTTGCTCGAGTTCGCCGCGGACTGAGGAGGAGACCGACGCTGCCAGCGAGGTGGGGACGCGCGGATCGGCCGCGGGAACGGGAGAGCCAGCTTGCTGGCGCCGGCGGCAGCGGAGTAGGCAAGGCGCTGGTGCTAGAGCCCGCCAGATGGAGGAGGAAGAGGAGGCGAGGCGGCGGCCGGAGCTGGCAGGAGTCATCGGGAGCAAACAGCTCACCGCGGCGGTCGGGCACCACGCCGAGCAGCTTCTCCATGCAGCACCCCGCGATGGCGGCGAAGGACCCGCCGCGCGCGCCGCCGCGGCGACGACGCCGCCGACTACGCCGAAGCGTGAAGCCGCGCGGATGACGTGGTTGCGCTTGCGGCTGCTGCTGCTACACCACCCACAGCTTCGTGGCAGAGCCCCTGAAGATGGGGCTCTGCGGGCAGGCACGCCGCCCTAACGACAGGAACGGCGAGCACAGCGTTGCCGCTGTGGCCAACGTTGATGCCGTCGTCGGCTGTGCCGACGCGTGAAGCCACGCGGACGCTGTGCTCGCCGCCGACGTAGCAGACGCACTCAACTTCGCTGCGGGAAAAAGAAGGGAGAAGACAGAAGAAGGAAGAAGACGAAAAGGGAAGGGAATGGATAAAAAATGTGATGGCAATGGTACGGTTTTAATTTTGTAAAATATCAATGGCATGGTTTCAAACAAACGAATTGTAATAGTATTTTTCTAAACGCGCAAATTTGCAATACCATGGATCGAATTAACCCTTTATAATACGCGCAGATCCTAGATAACGTGGCAAACCGTTGCCACCTTAAACAGGGCATCAGCACAATGCATGTGGCAAACTCTACCGTTGCCACCTTAATTTTTTCAATTAGTATTTGGCAGTCTATTCTTAAAAACAAGTTTTCCAAAAGGGTCAATTTATCAATTTTTGGTAGAAAATAGGACACTCTACATTTGTAGTGTAATTATATTTGAAAGGTTTTAGGAGAACTTTTTCTGTCAAAACTCAAAAGTAGTCCCTTCTATTTGTTTGGACCAGTCACACCCCATTAGGCCATTAAACCACGCCTACCGAAAACCAGATACAAATTCTGCTCAAAAGGTCTCAGCTTTCAAGCCTTAGCCAGTTTTTTATTCTTTTGCCCTTCTTTTATTTTTTTAAAACGAAGTCATCTTCATTATTCATTCGAGATAAACTTTTTTTTTCTCCTGAGGAAACTACTATCCGACGGTACTACAATTTGTTACAATAGAAAATTGGTAAATCTTAGTAGTCGCCTAATTTTGGTGCGCATCTGAGTTTACAGATCGGTGTTACATAACCACGTATAACACCAACAGAGGATCATCTCATGTTGCCCTCTCTTAGGACATCAATCATATCATATAATTTCTTGTTGGCACCAGATTGTATCTGCAGTAACAGTAGCAGGACAGTTAACTTATTTGCCACTAGCACGCCTAAGAACAGAGAAATTTATATGTCACATTCCATGAACAGTAACTGGATTCTGACCTTTTTATGGAGAAACAGGGCAGCATCCACAGTTCCCTCTGCGTAAATTGAACGGCCACATACATTGTGTTGAAACTCAAATGAAACTCTGCATAAATAAGGGGTATCACCTCAGTACGTTGTGCTTGTCAAGGCTCTCAATAGAATCCAGCAGACCTAGGAAAAGGTTTACTTACGTCTCATCCGGTGAAGTGAGATGGTACATGTGAAATGCGTGACCAGAAAGATGTTCTTCTGGGACACCAACCAATGTAAGCTGTTCCTGAGGATCCCGGACCTGCTTAACCTACAAGAAAGACATGTAGACCAGTGTGAGAGTTTGTGAAGAACATCTCAAGGAGGTTTTGGTTATGCTCCAACAAAACTACAATGCAAGAAGCTGCTTCAACAAAACTAGATATCAGCCTTAAGACCATTAGCCTAATAAAAGTGTGTTCGCTGCTGATGGATGGGAACATATCACCCCAGCACGGAAAACGGAGCAGTCCATTAGCGCATGATTAATTAAGTATTAGCTATTTTTTTTTCAAAAATAGATCAATATGATTTTTTTAAGCAACTTTCTTATAGAAACTTTTTACAAAAAAAACGCACCGTTTAGCAGTTTGAAAAGCGTGCACGCGGAATTCAAGGGAGAGGGGTTGGGAACCCTTGGGTCCGAACACACCCTAAGACATATTAGATCCAAACAAAAAGCGAGATTTTACAGTACATCAAGCACCAACCCTAAAAGGTACTGACAGGTTGTCCAACACTGAATTTGCAGTGTGCAGCATGTTACTCTGAGAGACAGACATTGGGACAAGTAAACTAGTACTACTAATTAAATCTAAGTATCTAGTATAGCTCATTCTTGAAATGGAACAGAAGATGCATGCTTAGTTTCTTACATAATCGTAAACTGATTTTTACATAAGAGAAAGCAAATGGCAATCCTCTAAAACTAACAATAATCTGCGAAAGACAGATATGACAATGTTTCATAAAAAACAAATTCAACATAACGATTTTCTGACCATGTAAGCTTCCAGTTAACATTTACCTCGTTCAAGTTAAATGACACACCCAACTTCTGAAAGCAAGAGATAACAGCTTTGGCCGTGCCAGAAATGTCCAATTTTGTAGCTTGATGAGACTCCATGACCTGCCAATTTTGTTATTTCAAAGAAGAGTCATGGGCCACTGCAAAATATGAAACTAAAGTATATGATGTACATTCAGTTATAACAATAGATGGATTCCAATGGAGACAAATAAGATAAACCTACTCACAACTGGATGTGATTCCAAGAGCCAAACCAGAATGAATACCACACAGTGGAGATAAATAAGATAAACTTACTGCCTGAGTTATCCTTATCGACTAAACAAATGAATGCATCCTGCTGGACATTTATACTAAAATACTAACTGTACTTTCTAGTATGTAAAGGGTGAAAACTCTAAATGGTTTAATAAGCTCTAGGTCTGCGTCTGACAAGTAATAACTGTGGACCCCCGACTCTAAATATGTCAAGTACTAAATGTGTTCCTGCGCCTATAACTACATCTCCCTAAGTAGTAAATGTGTTCCCTGAAACTGTAAATGCGCAGGGGCCTGGTAGCACCGTTGACACTGAATAGTAGATATGTATTTTTTATAGATCATTTAGCTAGTCACTATAGAGTTGTCAATCCAAATCTTCTGTGAAGTTTCAATTTGCAAGAATCTGTGCTTCAAAGTGAAGTTCCATAGAGCTTAACATCTAAATAGAGTGTTGACTTGTCAAGAGGAGGCACTTTTCAAGTGTAAGTCGTATGTGAGGCTGATTCCAAATAGCTTATGAGTCTAACCATCTCAGTCATAAATTTTGCAAAGACTAAACCCCTGAAAAGTTAACTTTCATGTGGCATGTACAGTTGTACAAGCACAGGCTTACAATTCTAGCTCCACCACTGTGGTTTAGGACTGAAGCACAAATGCAGATAGAAGATAGGCATACTCAGGGTGTTAACGGTAGTTAATTCAAATGATTAGAACATTAATGCATCATACATCATAATGGTTACCAATTAACAGAAATATCGCTGATCTTTCTTCCATTTTCCTACGATATAGCTAATTTCTGCAGTTCCTAATGTAGCATGTAAGTTCCACATGGATACTGTTCCAGTGGTTTGGTTCATAAGTTCTCTACCACTTACTAGTTACTCCACTCACTTAAAACTTCCATACCAACTGAAATTGCTGAGCTAAATACCATCATGATTCTTTAATAAACTTCCTAACATCAAGTTAATATGATAAAGTTTTCTGTTTGCACATTATTGCAAGCAAATTACTGAGCCCATAATGAATACAAGTACACAACTCATATCAATCAACTGAAGCACCAAATTTGATGTTGAATGAAGAACAAAGAGACAGTTATAATGCTTGCAAGGAAAAATCAAACTATACCTCTAGTTTGTAACCTGAAAATGCACCGGGGAATTGCTCTGCCATGATTTCCATGGCAGCAAGAAACGCGACAACCTAATTGGAAGGAAAAATAGGAGTAAGCAGTATTAATAAGGAGAAGATCATTAGCTTGACCATGCAATGGAAATAGTTATACCTGCTTCCCCATCTGTGGGGATATCACAGCATACACGTTTGCGTCCTCAACTGTTTTGTGCAACAGTTGCCTATTTCCACCTGTTGTGCCCATAACAAATGGCAATCCAAGTTTACAGTAAAGCTCAGCATTAGCTGCACATCAAAAACACCATAAATGTCAGATTAGCAGCAATAATAGTGAGCAAATAATATGAAAATAAGGAACATAAAGCATATCAGAGAGTTTAATTTAATTAACTAACTAATAAATAAAAGTTAAAAGGCTGACATAAGATGAAGAGCAGTAGCGGCTATCCTGCCAAACCTACTTCCGATAGAATATCAACTAAGGAAGATTGGATTCTGTAGTTAAATATTCCTGTTTCTTTTTGTACAGTTGCAAACAGAACAACAGACAACCATACATACATAAGCTAACGGGATCATTATAATCGAACATACAACTTAATGATTACAACTTGCTCTTCTATCCATTCATCAAAATATACGATAATTTTCAACTAGGTTCAGTTGTATGCACTATGTAGAAGAAGCTCGAGCTGAACATGAGATAGGGATTTGTCTGATATAAACAACCGGCAGTTTTTGCTGATGCAATTACGGAATGCTTACTTTTGGTAGAGTTTAGCATATAAGGAGATCAAGCAACAGAAAATATTTATATGCTCACCATTAACAGCATCAGGAACAGTGTAGTCAACAACTATCATATCTGGGTAATCCTTAGCAATCGAAGGGAGAATACTTTCTCCTTCAGATGGGTCACGAATATAAATTTCCCTATCACAAATTTCAACCTTTCCATCAGGAACCTCAATAGCACTGAATGATACAGGAACTAACTGAAGACCAGCAGATACAGCTGCTTCAGCAACAGCCTTCCCCATTTTCCCAGTACAACTATTCACCTAAACAGGTAAATATTGGTATAATAAGTGAAATCTGAGATAATAAAATAATGGATCTACAGGAATGTAAATCATAGAAGCAGTTAAGCGGTGCTTTAATGAAAATTTTGGAAGTAATTACTAATCTTAGTAACTTCAAACTCAAGCATCACAGTATGATGTGGAGATGTTGCAAGGAGAAAAATTCAGTACGTCTGGATCTTAAATTTACAGAACACTCAAACAAAGTAAAAAAAAAAAAAAAAAAACAGGTCAGCTCAACACGATATATGATTGTTGACGTGAAAACTAATGAAAAGGTAAAACAGCAGCTACCAGCTTTTTAATATCGTGTGCTAATCATAGTAACTGAAACTAAACAAGCAATCGAACCTGTCGGACTTCCATTTCATGGTGCTACGCACCCATTTCTATATATGAAATTGCTTTATAGGATATTGTCTGGAAACTGAAGTACTGAATACAACATATTAAGTGACTCAGGCAGCTAAAAGGCAAGTTTGATTGAGTTTTTTTCAATGCTCTTTTCAAAAGCATATTTTAGAAGGGAGGAACTGTGAACTCTATCTTCAGTAAAGTAGTACAGCGGTTAGATTTTCCAAACTCTATATTTTTGTTGTAGTATAATCTCAAACTGAACATCTTTTTTATGTGCCTAATTGAGTTGGTCAAACATCCCAAATTCCATTCCACTACCTTCTTGTCGAGCAGAAAGCAACTAACTATCAGTACATCCTCCAGCTGCAGGAAACCAACCATGTGCAAGAAATGGGATAGGAAGAAGATGAACGATCTTTGGCACAGCTGACTCGAGCCAGCCTGTCCCGATTGGCAACCCCTTGCACTGAACCCGCATCAAGAATTGAGAGGAAGAAAATGAACAGGAGAGATGGAAGGAGACCAAGGAAGAAGATGAGGGTAATTTGTTCTAAAAATTTTAGTAAACGCATCAAAAGGGTATGTAGTGGTATATTTCCAATACCTAAAAAATTATAAAGGCATGGCTCTAAATAGTTGAATAGTAGTGGCATATATCAAAACTGATGAATTTATAATGGCATGGATTCAATTAACCCTAATATTATTGCCAACACTAATTCATAATGGCTGAATTAAGGAACAGAACAGGAAAAAAAAAGTAAATAGATCCCTTTATTGTGTTGATAATCATTTTGCAGCCATTTCTCCTTTCCTACATTTCCCAGTTTCGGATGGAAGATAATCATAATTAAAGTAAACACTAACAAGTACTCCTTAGGCAATGCCAAAGGTACGAGTTAATGGCCTTGGCCTGTTTGGTTGGCAGCCAAAGGTTGCAATGCCAAACCTTAGGCACGCTGCATGACACAATTTGTTAGCCTAGTGCTTAGTTGGTCGGTATAATTGTGGATTGCCAAACTTCGTTAGTTTTTATCAAATTGCATTTTGTGTGGCAATGCAACACATCTGGCAAAGTGAGGTGTGTGGACACCAAGCAAACCGGCCCTAATTCCTAAATCCACAACAAGGGCAGAGCCAAACCAAGCAACCTTACCAGTATCGGGAACGAGTGCTTGGGAGGCGCCGCAGGGGCACTCTCGAGGCTCTGGCTAGCGAGGGCGTTCGTGATCGAAAGCCTCGCCATTGGAAACCGCCGCCTCAGCGTCACCGTGACGATTTGGGAACAGAACGGCAGGCGCCAGCGGATCGGACCTCGTCGCCTGGCGGCTGCAGCGGCAGCAGGGTGCGTGGCAAAGGTGGAGGCGAGCATTTGGGTAGGTTTCTGGGATATTGGTAGCCGGAGGAGAGGACGTAGAGCGGCGGCGAAGGAGGAGGAGGAAGGTGAGCCCTGCCCGAGTCTAGGGTTTTGGGCGATTTGGCGTTTTCTTTTTCTTCCTTGAACGGCCCATTCAAAACCCGGCCCGAGGTTAAAAAATTCCCGAAGGCCCAAAGTCTATATTTTGATTTAAACCCCTAATGGTGGTGTTTGAATCTCCTGGAGATGAAGATTAAGTATTTCACGCAAAACGATGTGATAATAACGTGTGATTAATTGAGTTTTAATTATTATAAACTTGAAAAATGTATTAATCTGATATTTTAGAACAACTTTCATATAGAAAGTTTTTGCACGGAACACACTGTTTAGCAGTTTGAATAGCGTGCCATGAGTATCCAAATTTTAATCCACTCCTTTAAGAAGAAACGAATGGGACCTATTTCTGCTTATTAGGATAGTAATCTTTTGGAATATGATATTATTTAACTAGAAAAGGACTGTGCGTTGCAACGGAAAACCTAATCGTTTAGGTTCATGGCGCCTTGCATGTGTAGTATTTTGACATTATGGATCATGATGTTGACCCACATGGCAAGCTATCGTGTAGCGCTTGCTTCACTTGATTGCAAAAATCTCTTCGAACTAATAAATGGTGGGTCATTGAACTGAATATGATTTGTCGCGTGAGGAGAAATATGACAGCAGTTCAAAATTCTTAATGATAGCATTAGTCTGGAGATAACAAGGATCCACCTAGGCACTGAAAAAGCCAAGCCGCCAGATCTGCATTCAAATTCAATCAGGATTGCATTGTAGTCAATCATAAATCTAATTTGATCATACATGTTTAAAAAGTAATATATGTATATACCTTTCAAAAATTGCATTAGAATTTTCATCAAATTGGAAGAATGGGTTTCCTCAACTTGGTGAACCTCGACAAAGGAATAATATAATCAAATGGAAATTTAGCCTAATTTAATTCAGCTTTACCAATTTACACGCAGATACCACACGAGTAGGCCAATGGCAGACAGGATTTTCATGATGTGTATTCAAGATTTACACCATGACATTTAGAAGAACTATTCTTTGTGTTATCAATAAAAAAAATGCTAGTTTTTTTAATAATAAAAAGATGATAATGTGTAGAAAAACATAGTAGAAAATTATATATATATTGCCGTTTTAACATGAATTTCACCGTGACATTTGAAAGATATTCCTTATGTTATCAATAAAAAAAATGCAAAGTTGGTGATAAAATGTAGAAAAACACAGTAGAAAATTACATATATTACTGGTGGTTTAATAATAAGGGGCAATTGTGTTCCTGCCCTTACTTTCTAGTTCAATTATGATTTTATCCCTACTTTTTAGGGTTTGTGATTTTGCCCCTACTTTTTTAAATGAAGCAACCGTCTACCCTTGGTTTTGACGGTAGTTAGGTGGGCCCCAAGTTTCTGAATCAAATGAGGGAAAAAACGATATTGTAATTTGTGAATTACCATCATGCCCCTGATTTCACTAAATCAGTCTACCACGTGTGAATCGGCATTTCCCCAATCGAAAAACCTAGATCGAAGGCGGCGCACGCGAGGAAGCGGCGGCAGAGACGCGCAGGGAGGCGCGGCGTCGCACGCGAGCAAGCGGCGGCAGCCTCACGGGCCAGCGCGCAGGAGGCTAGGCGGTGCGGCGGCCTCGTGGGCCTAGCTCGCAATGCGGCGGGCCAGCGCGCAGGGAGGCACGGCGGCCTCGCGATCCGGCGCGCAGGGACAGAGGCGGCGGCCGGCGGCGGGAGCAGCAGGCGCAAAGGCGGCGGATGGGCTCGCGCGCGGCCCGACGGCATGCCCGCACGACAGCAACTGTGTTGGCAACAACATTTTGCCATTGGGTGCATCTGCCGTAGAGGAAGGCGCCGAGTGCATCGCCTCATGCGCCGCCTCCTTGATGGTTCATTTTGTTGATTGAATTAACTGGCAAGCAGCTGGGATAAATCATTGAGGGCTCTGCTATATGTGTGGATTTGGGATTTTTTTTTTTTTTGGCTCTGGTTCTCCTTTCCTTTTCCTTTTTCATGAAAAGTTGGGTAATAAATTGATTTGTTTGGAAAATTGGTCGCCTTCTTCTTTCTTTTTCCCTTCGTGATGTATATATGTGCAACTTATATGTTCCTGAAAAACTGGCAATAAATTGATTTGTGTGGAGGTGCCATACAATCTCAAAGTTAAATCTTTTAGTATGCATGCCAGATCCATCGCCGCATGCATGACACAACGGGGCAAAAACACTGCATCCTCACAAAGAATGCAAAGGGCACACCTGTCCTTCTACCACTAAATTAACACCATTAAGGGGACTTGACAGAGTAGGGGCAAACTGAAGCTTCGGTTTGAAAAAACAGGAGCAAAATTACAAACCTTGTAAAATCATAATTGCAACTCGAAATAGGGACAAGAACACAATTACCCCTAATAATAATAGGAGGTAATAAAGTGTAGAAAAACACATTAAGAAATTACATATATTGCTGGTTTAATATGAATTTTCAAACATATGAATGCACTTTTAAAAAATATAATCAGCTTAGGAGAGAAAGAAAAAATTGGTGAGGATAAGCAGCATCTACCCAGTTCAACAAATGGTTTTACTCATTCATCGTGTGACATATCCAACAATACAAAATCATTTGTTGAGTTGTATCCGACGTCACATAGCCCGCCGCGCTCCCTCCCTCTCTTCGATCTCATTCCCCTGAAATCACGCAAAATCACGCCTAACTCCACAAATGACGCCGCTGTCGCCACCACTCAGATTCGGTGCACCACCTTGCCCGTGAGCCCATCCACACATCGGCGCCCCCTCAACCCTAGCGTCATTGTTCCCCTTGGGCTAGCGGAGGCAGTGGCTGGTTATAGCTTTATAGGACTGTTGATGTGAAAAACACACACTGGCCTGAGAGATTTGCTTTACTCTAGTGCAGGTCCAAAGAATTGCTTCTGATTTCTAAGCGTGCCAGTTGGTTTGCAACCAACAAGAAATAAAAGAGAAACAAGAAAACAAAGTTAAATCCGTAAACGATAGCCGATGACATATCGTTCAATATTAAGCCGATGTTATTTGCATTAGATAGGCAATGAAGAGTAAAGCAGGGTAAAGTTAAATCTACTCGATCGGGTGTAGATATTAATGATATATAATCTATTTCTAAAAATATGTTTAAACCAAGTGATTGGGATAGATCGGACAGTTTGCCGAGACAGTATAAATCACTTATGTTTAAAAGTACTTTGAGATAGAGATTATATATATTCATAGCATAGCCGATTAAGTAAATCTAAGATGTATCGGCTAATACTCCGATACCACTCTATCTTAAGATGTTAAAACAAACGAAATACACTAAATATCAAGCTTAATATATTTTAATGCAATAAGATCTTAATATAAAGGGCAGATTTAGCATATCGAGTAATCATATAAGGAACAAGATGACTAAACCAGGTAAGATCGGCTGAAACCCCAATTCTATCTCTATCGATAATCATAGAACAAGCTAAATATTATGATTCTAGATATTACTTAGTAGATCGAACCTAACCGATGCAGCATAAGCATAAAGAGAAACATAAGATCTGAACAAGATGATGAAAACCTCTTTGAGATGGTAGATACACTATATAACCTAGATCAACGTTGATATCTAACCTTATCGACTGCCTTCTGATGATAGATGTTAGCCGATTTAGGGTTAGATAGCAATATTGATAGAGATTATATAGCATATGTGATAACTCGACGATTTACATAAACAAGATTACAGTATCATAAGATGTATGCACTAATCCCGAGAACGTAAGCTGCCATGACAAGTTTTACCTCTTGCTGGAGATCGAACCCGATGCAGCCCAACTCGAAAGCAAGAACTCATCGAAAACAATGAAAGTAGAAAAGGTGGCGATCCGCCGAAAGTGTTATTGAACTGTCGTTAAATTGTTTACAAGGTCTTGGGTCATATTTATACCTAAAATACATAATATGTCCTTGCCGGACACGACTCTATCTCTATTATAACTTAAAATACAAATAAGTCCCTTAGGTGGACTCTTGCCAAACATATCTCTAAGAAAACTACCAGAATATCCTAATTAATAGATACAATTGCCTTCTTAGAACTCAATCCATACGTGGCAATACTTGTGCAGCACATCAATCGATCCCGTAGATGATTCTAGAACCACCTTACTAAGATCGGCTACATCGGCTGTTCTTCATCCGATCCAATGTCAGCCGATGCAGACATTAGCCGATGCTCCTGTAGCCGATATGCACTCCGTTTCTAGGAAACGATCTCTCACCAAATCCGCTTCGACTTTAGCTTCGAATCTGATGTATAATTTACCGAATTTGGTCGTCAACAAGGACCAAGGACCAAGGTCCAAGGATGCAGCAGCGGCATATGTAGGATGGATTTTGTCTGGTCAGGCGGGCGGCCGTGAAGTGGCGAGACTCGAGAGAAGGATGCGGCGGTCGAAAGGGAGGCGTCCAGTTAGCGGTGACACGATCCAGGCAACAAGGTAACCTTGCCTCGACCGCGTCCACACCCCTCCGCGCGCCGGTCGCAATCCGTCATGATCACGTTGTCCCCGGTGTCCTCTCTCTCCTACATCATCTCCGTCTCCCCTCCCTCTCATGCAACCATGGTGGTGGCGAGTTCTTCAAGCACGGCAGCACACAAGAACTATATGATTCACCATTATCATCTTGTCCAAGATTCATGCTTCATGCAGGACACGGAGGGAGTGGAGGAAGAGGTCAGAGGAGGTAGTCTGTTCGGCACGAAAATCTCAGGAAGTGCGGGCACGGAGCATGGTCCCTGGCGAATCCAAGTCCTTTGAGGCCTTAAGCAGTAACGAAATCCATGTACTGCTATAATTGCAACTATTGTTTCTATATTGCAGTGTGCAACGCAGTGCTGTTTGTGTATGCACATAACAAGAATGAAATTAAGGTTGGATACAAACAAAGTGTGGAACCTCTTTCGTTCTAAGCTGGCATCTGCTGAAGGAAATTGTGGCCTCCTTTTTTCTGATTCCTTTTCTATTTTGTGCTCT